TAAATTTAAAAAAAGAGCACTTGAACGATGACATTTATTGTAAAAAGCTTAGTTTTCTACCGGTTGCGACTGTGCAACAGTCATCCTCAGGAAAGCGACCTGTATAAAACAAGGATTACATTGATATCTTTAAGTATTGTAAAAGAAACGTGTGCTTATTCATGTCTATCTTAAAATATAAAGAAATATAAAAATTAATACAGATAACTTACGTCAACGAACATAAAATAGAACAGGAGCTCATCGGATTACAATATGAAGGTTCCCTCACAAAAAACCATTAATATAACTTAACTTAGAAATGATAAACTGTGAAAACTTTTAGGCGCGCAAATATGTGATTTGAGGTAATATTTCCAGTTGCAAAGTTGGAAATTAAACTAAAAATCTGTTGGCAGCACTTGAACAAAAATACACAATTGACGTTCTGGAACGATGGCGCGAAAAATTCAATATTTAAAAAATCTCTAATCATTCAAACAACATAAATTGAATTGTTGAAAATTGACAAAATGAATACAAAACAGTATCAATGTCTATCGGAAACATTTTCAAAATGAAATCAAATACCAGGGTAAAAATCTTGTGAGGAATTGTACACAAAATGCAAAAATATTATAAATTTTAACCGTCAATACAACAAATAAAAAAAAATTACAGAAATACATTGAAAAACAGAAATTTTTTGCAAAATAATAAACAAAACTTGGACAGGAGTTATATGTTANTCTTTTATCAAAAGTTGTCGAACTTCTCTATGTATATCTTCCTTCTTTGGGTGATTCTTAGTTGTTGATTCTAATTCTATTGCCATTCTTCTAAAATTCGTTGGTATATTTATGGCATATTTAAAGCCTTTATTGAGTAATTCTGTCTCTTGTTGGTTGAAGATAATATTACTTAAGTTGGTGACTCGTTTGTGAAATATGTGTTCTTCTGGCATCTTATTTGTCTTATTTTCTTCCCTCTGCTGTAGTCTTTTCTCTCTTCGTAAATTATCTAACTTTCTCTGTTTCCTTGTCCATTCGTGAGCTGTTCTGGATTTATGTGTTGCCCTTGTTTGATTAATAAATAATAACAATTCAAAGCTACAAAATTACATATTCTACATTGTTAACTGGTATCAATGTATACTTCTTATCCAGAAATTGCTCCTGAATTAATTCTGTCTCGAAGGGTTTACTCATGTTCTCGATTTTTGTTTATTTTGTTTTATTGATTGAAAAATTCTTGCGACATATTTTATTGTATAGGGTGTCCCAATTTCGATGTCCGCATAGGCTATCTCCGAAACTAAAAGAGATAGAAAAAAAGTAGCTTACATGTCATGATCTCGTTTTTCGAGAAAATGCAAATGCCAAAAACTTCGAACAGCTATCGTCTTTTGTTTTCGCCCTATGGACAAAAACTGAAAAATTTGCGAAAACGACAATCGCAAATATCTCTCTTATGATCAAAGATGGAGTATTATAAATAAAACAGTATATGGGCAACTTTTTACGAACAATTCAGTGGCGTAGCTAGAAATTTTTTCCCATCTTTTTTTTAACCATAGTTGGCTATGACCTAACATAATTTGTTATTTTCTTCTGATAACAAATATATATATATATAGTTTGTGGGGTATATTTCTTATAGTTATTGAATAATTTTAGCAAAAATTCATTTTATTCTATCTAATACTATTGTATGTATTTAAAAGTAACTCTGGCATTATGTGCTGGTGCTCCGTCATATTAAAAATATATCATTTGAGACATATTTAGTGGCAAATTGTAGACCAAAGGCTCAATGTGCTGCCTTAATATATTGAGGTATTTCCCTGAGTTTAAGTTTAGATACTATATGCCAAAATTCTATTATCTAAAAGCGCACACCATACATTGAACCCCAATTTTCTTTGAACACTCAGAGGCTTCATCGGTCCATATGACATTTTGAACAAACAGCAGATTATTTAATTTTTCTAAATATCATCTACTAAATTCTAATCTTATATTGGCATCTCCGGCACGTAAATAATGAGTAAGCCCCGCTTTGTATGGTTTATATTTACTTTTTCTTTCATATTAGGGAGCAGCAACTTTTGGGTCAGACGTCTTGTTCAATTTCTCTGCAAGATGTTGATGGATTTATCGCAAGTGAAGCCAACACATTGACTTCATCCTCTCGCAGATCATTTTGGTATGTTTTTGCACGTGGTTTGGGGAAGGACCAAAAATCTATTAAATTTTCTGCTAACCGGCTGAAGGTTCTTACGTGCGGTTGCCTTCTTTCCGGATACCTTGTGAAATATCATTCCGCGGCTAACGTCGCATTCTTATCTGATAACATATAGCATTCCATCATGTTACATTTTTCATAATTTTCGAAATTCATTGTAAAGTTTTANGTTAGCCGACATCTTTTTAAATGAAATTGAGGATAAATATATTCTTAACGATACAAACCCAATTAGAAAAAATATCTTACTCTGGAAACGATATGTCGATGATATTTTCATTATAATTGAGGATAAGAATGATAACACAATTGAAGAATTACACGAATACATTAATTCACTTCACAATGACATAACGTTCACTGTAGAAGTTGAACAAGACAATACTTTAAACTTCCTGGACCTAACATTAAAGCAGACCAATGATGGCTTACAATATCAAATTTATCATAAAGTTACTCAAACAGACATAGTTATCCCATACGATTCACACCACGATCATACCCACAAATTAGCTGCTTTCCGTTCATATTTAGATAGAGCTTTTTCATCATCACTTACACCAGATCAAATACAGATAGAATTATCAATAATTAAACAGATAGCCAACAATAATAGTTTTCCAAACAAAATAATTGAAGATTTGATTAAGAAACAACAAAGCAAAAATCTTATACAAATTTATACTAGCNCACCATAGCAACATTAACTTTTAAATACATACATTAGTTTTAGATAGAACAAAATGAATTTTTGTTAATTATTCAATAACTATAAGAAATATACCCAACAAACTATATATATTTGTTAACAGAAGAAAATAACAAATTAATGTAGGTCATAGCCAACTATAGTTTCCATTTAAAAAAATAAAGTAAAATCTCGAAAATAAAAGATGGGAAAAAAATTCTACCTACGCCACTGAATTCTTCGTAATAAGTTGTCCATATAATGTTTTCTTTATAATACTGCATCTTTGATAATAAGTGAGATATTCGCGATTGTCGTTTTCGCAAAATTTTCAGTTTTTGCCGATAGGGCGAAAACAAAAGACGATAGCTGTTCGGAGTTTTCGGCATTAGCATTTTCTCGAAAAACGAGATCATGACATGTAAGCTACTTTTTTTCTATCTCTTTTAGTTTCGGAGATAGCCTATGCGGACATCGAAATTGGGACAC